TGAAGCTCTCCAGATATCAGCGGCTTGAAGATACATGTTACCAGACGTCATTCGGTAAATAGCCCTGGGGCTCTGTTTCTCGGTTTCCTGGCCACTGATTGCATGAGACGACCTGAACTACAGAATATGATTTATGCACTTCACGGACATTCCGCTTGGATACGACTTCTGACTATCGAGCGCAAAGCCCTGCAGAAGCCATCCTCCCACCCTTTATGCTTATTAAAACCTAGGAAAATGCACTTGTTCGCCTCGTATGTTCTATTTTGCCCCCCTGTTTCTCTCAATTCATCCATCGTCCGCATTAGCATCTTGCATTCTGTCAACCCAGTCGAAAGATTTGCTTCAGCCTTACGCAGCCTCTCTGCGCGGCTGAAGACGGGCCTGCCGTCACCTAGGGAGGGACATGTTATACTGATAGCTGCAAGGTTGAGTACGGGCAGACTTGACACCCAGCCCTGTTAGAGATCTCCCCAGATTCCACTGGACAAACTGATGGCGTTGCGCCCTTGTCTGTCAGCCAAGGTCAGGCCTGGCAGGCCGACAGTTGTACTAAGCTGGATTTCTACTGCGTAATATGTCAGTCGCGAAGCTGGGGCGATAGATCCCGCACACCGACTGACAGGCATTGCAGTTCCACCCAGGCAGGCACAACCCGAAGCAATTCGCTGCAACGGTCACTTCTAGGAACGACGATCATTCACTCGGTGCATGGCCTTGCGTATTCGCCGTTTTTGTAGGATCGGTTGGCATCAGGATTGACGCTTTGGCCGTCGGATGAGACTGCTATCGAAAGATCAATACCTCACGCTTAGAAGCTGAGGACTGGCGAGTATCACTCGCATCCGAGTGACAGGGACGAACATTGGAATGTCAACCGACGAAGCGTCCACCCTGAAGAAGATAACAAGTTCGCGAAAAACGCGATTGTCATTGGATTGGGCTTTTGTGAAAATGAGTATCAGAGTCAGTGAAGCCCAATCGTGTGCTGTTTTCAACTTCTTCTATCATCCCGAGTAACTCGCGCAGAGGAGGACAGCTGCGGGTAGCCCAACATCTTGATAGGCATTTGGGTTCACTTTCCGATCTGACGAGCCATGAACAGCCATGTGTCTTTGTGTTTCTACGATGCGCCGTTTTGTATTGGTTGAGCGCTGCTGGGCGGAAAGTATCATCCAAGACATCACCAACTTCCTCCAGGACATTGAAGCCGTTTGTGGGGACGATGAGCTGGATTCCAACAAGTGGGGAAGAACCGTTCGTCACGGGATATGGTCTCGCCGCCACGCCATGTGCATAAATTCTTGACGGGGAGCGAGACAGCCTGTTACTGTCCGCATGGCAAGCATGCAGTTGATGTCTTTGGTAGACTGACACGTTCACTCATCACGTTTGCAGCTGCCGTTGGGTGTATGCACTCTCACCGCCCAGTCGACGACAGCTCACCGCTGCAACACCGGGGCGGTCAGAGAGGTTTGATAGGGTCTCGGTATCCTTTGTCTAGTTGAACACATTGACCGAGACATCGCTCATGTTCGCAAACGCTGCGAACGAGGCCATGCCGCCGTGTTCTAGGCTCTGTGATCGGCGGTCTGTTTTGACATTCTCGGGTGATGTATACATACGTGAGCGGTGCTGAAAATGGACGGCACCAAGTGGCATTCGCCCGTCACTCCATGTTATTGGGCAGACGAAGCCCACTCTGGACGAGTTGGCGTTGTCAGCCATGTTGTGAACAACAGCACCGAAATGCATAGTAGTCAATGTTGGTGCTGCAAGGAGACGTGTTACTGAACTTTATGAACTGGCACTACTGAACGCGAAATGACAGAGGCTGCCTTCAATCTAGCCAGCCCAGATTGCGGAACTCCCAAGTGATCGCCATCCGGGAGCATTGTCAAGACGTGAGCGGACAGGTCACTTGCTGGTTGTCCGTATATTGCCCCCAATCATCGGTGATTCAATGCCACAGTCTGGACATTGCCAATATCGGGGGAAAGGTGCACAAACAAGCAGTAGTTGACCATCGGCCAGGCAGTCATGACAAAAGGCGTTTGAGGGCAGCTCTGTCACAGAGCTTGGTCCCGGCTCTACTTCCTCTTCGCGGCCAAAATCAAGTTTCGGTGATGGTCCGGCAACCTATTTGGACGCTGGTCGGAGGCGCAGTTCGACGCATATTGCGCCTGGGCTTCGTGAGCGCAGATTAGAAGAACACAGAGTCATCGCCAAGGCAATCTCTCGGAGCAGACACTCGATCCTCAGTCCCGATGGAGATGAATGGACCTCTTGGTGGGGATGTCTCCAACGACGAGTTCTGAAGCACTCATGCAAATATCGGCTGATAACGTGAAAGCGGTTGGTTACAAAGTAACTCGCTTGGGGTTCTAAACGGTATCCTTTGAGATTGAGAGTACCCGACTCGTTTGGTAGGAAGGGTTTTGGTATTTCCGCCAATCTTCCCAGATCACCGTCCAATTTCAAAGACTATGAGAGCCTGGCCCTGGTTCTGAGGAATTGGAAGAACCCCAACATATTTAGTCAAGTCTCTTGTGCTGCTCTAAACAATCCGTTGATTCATGTACCTCGATATGGCTTTGATGAAGGCATCTCAAAGTCGCGGCGAGCTTCAGCTTGCCCAAGCCTGACAGACAGACGCGCCGCGATATCTTCGCGCGTCTATGCTGGTCAAGGGCCCTGGTAATTCCGGGTCGGTGGGAATTCCCAGGGCCATTATCCACTCAAGCTCGCCGTACTCCGCCGTCGGGGGGGGCCCTCGACGCGTCCGGCGAGCGCTTTTGCCCAAAAAGGTTTAGAGGGTGAAGAAATGAGGTGAGAGTCCTGAAAACACCACCGAGCTTCCCCTGCATGATGCAGTGGTATTGGTGACAAGCATCATTCCACTATATTTAGGCATGCGGGCACCGGGAATGAGGTGCGAGGGGGCCTTGGCATGGATATCCATGCCGGAGCAGGCCTGGGATTGAGGACAGCATCGTTGTATCTTCTTGTTCTCTGTCTTGCCCTCTTTTTTCTTCGGCCTGCGAACCTGGCCTTGTCCTTCTCCACGTGGGGGTTACGTTTTGATTGACCGCGTTCCTGGCCGCTGCTGAGGGAGGGTTCCTTTTTCATCAACTTGCTGCTGGGTTCGTGGTGCCAAGGATGCTGCTTTTTTGGAGATGCCGACCCCAACTCTGGGTGACGGGTTCATCAGGAGTGGGTATGCCTTGCCGCGGTATACTAGAGCGACGATATTGAAACCCCCCAGGCAGCCGGTGGGCAGAATACCCTTTGCGTGGAACAATGAGACGTCGAGCGGGTTCGCATTTCTGATGTCGATGTGACCTCCAAATGACGGGGAGAACCCTTGTCGACGAGAGAGTCGGACAGAGTCAGTGAGTTGAGAGGGAGAAAGTGGGCAGAAAAAAGGGGTCCTTGGGCCGCCGGGTTTCGACGACATGGGAGCGCGGCTGTGGAGCGACGCGTCTGGGAGACGGCGGACGCGTCGAGCGTTGTGACCGGGTATCTGGTATGCCCACGCAGAGGTAGGAGCAAGTTGGCCTTGGTTCATTGAATCCGGGAGACTCGAGAATGACAGATGTCGGTTACAGGTCAACTTGGTGACATTGCTAGACAACTACAAGTTGCCCGAGTTGAGGTTGACTGGCTGCCAGTGAAGTTGAGCTGTCGAATCTGGTGCCGTGCCGTCAATTCATAAGATGGACAGTTTAATTATGAGTGTTGCAAGAAGAGTCACAAAAGCACACTTGTGAGATTCCAACTTTGGAGGAATTCTGAAGTATGCGGAAAGGGGGTCGCTCAGTCCGTGATGTCCCTCTTCTTCGCCGTGCACTGGTTTATGTGAAGTACATGAGTGCTGCCCTGACCGGGGCTGTTACGAGTACGTCGTTTTGTACATAGACCAGCTACAACTACCAATGACCTGAAAGAGACGGTCTTATGTTGGAAAACACTAAAGAGCAGAATACTGCAGGCGTTGTCATGTCTCAAGGCGATGCCATTTCAGATATTAGTGTTGTGTTCGCCTGGTGTTGTCGGGTCCAAAAGACAAGTTCGGGGAAAATGATTGCCGGGCTCAAAGCGACATCCAAAAGCCTCGACTCCTGTGCCATCAACGGGAGCCATGTAGAACGTAGCTGTCAAAATGAGATACGTCTCGGTGGTCCAATATACGACGAGGCTATACTGATTGCAATCACAAGGAACGAATGAAGATGTCGGGCAGGTTCTGTCCATCCGACATTCATTGACAGAGAGGCAAGCTGTGATGACGTTTGCTGTTGACGACTCCTGCCACAATGGAGCTTGGCCGTTATCATTGAGCAAGTCAACAAGAGAGTGAACTCTTTACACCGCTGCAAATTGACACAAAACTTGTCGACAAACCTCGAAAATTCCCATGTCTGATTTCCAGACGTATGCTTACTCCTACAGCCCTCTAGCTTCACTTTCAGGTAGATGAAACACCGATATGTTGCCACGACAAGAATGAAGATGCTAAACATCTCATACAGGAAACCATGAGCCGAGACGAGAGTTGCTAGGAGACTGCTTGAAGATACTTCCTAGCGTTACTGCAACGAAGCTTGTAAAGGCAATTCAAATGCAATGCATGAAGGGGTGTAGCGCTGAAAGCTATTTAACAATCAATTCTGTTCGGACTTGGTGTGCAATATTATATACTGTCGAGGGCTATAGATGCTATCGACAGTCGTGACAAAGACATAACATATTCATTCGACCAGTAATCATCTTGTCTTCATGTCACCGGACTGCTTCCTGTATTCAAACAATGTCTTTCGATTCGCACAAACAAAGGACCTGGATCTACGTAATTTCCTCAGACTACAAAACCTGCCCCTTTTATCAGTGAGCTTTAGGTTTTGGGACTGAACAAAAACATGCCACAACTCTTCACTCCACCAAACATGTTGCCATGTCTATACCGACTTTAGCCTCCGCACACCATCCGATACTCTTGATCATACTAATGACATGGTAGGGTTTGGGTCGAACGGGCGGAAAGGGTTAAGGAGATAGTGCGGCTGTGACTGGGTGACAGTGTTGGTCGCGGTGACTGTGACTTCTGCTGGGGCAACGGTGACACTGTTGGTTGCTGTGACCGTGACTTCTTCGGGGGCGGCGGTGGTAGTGGTGAAAGCGGACGAATAAGTGCTGGATGATAGCGATCCTGGGGTAGAGACAGAAGAAGTAGATGTTGAGGTCGACGTTGACGATGCTTCTGGGATAGAGATAGAAGCGTCGGTTGATGTCGATGTTACGGTCGACGTTGACGACGCTTCCGGGGTAGAGACGGGGCCATCGACCGAAGTTGAAGTCGAAGCCAAAGGCGAGGGAGAGGCTGTGATCGTTGTGGCGACGGTGACGGTGGTCGTAGGATCACAGCTCATCGAAGCACAGGAAGTTCCAGTAGCAGTGCTATCAGGAGCGCTGGTAATTACAGCGGTAGTAGTTGTCTCCGCAGGTGTATCGATAGGAGTAGGAGCGGGAGTTGAGTCAGAAGTTCCAGTGTTAGTAGCGTCGTCTGGCATGTAGACTGTTTCTGTGACCGTTGCGGTGTTGGTGACCGTGATCATGGCCGTGGTAGTCTCGTCAGGAGTACTAGTAGTAGTCGGAGTGGGAGCAGCAGTCGAGCTGATAGTGCTCGAGCAGCTCCTCGACCCGGTGGGAACAAGGGGACTGTTGGAAGCCGGAGTACTCGTTGAGAGCGGAGTGCTCGTTGAGAGCGAAGTGCTTGTGGACGGCGAAGTGCTCGTGGACGGAACATTGACGGTGTTCTCGGGGCGGTTCATGCAATCCCAGGTGCATTTCATTGTGTCCGCATCCCCTATCTTGTTCGCATCCCCTATCTTCTTGACCCAACAGTCTACGATGCACTGGTGCATGTTCTGCTCAGGTCCTTGAACGTTGTCTTCGAAGTTCGGGCCATCCGACGTGATGTTCTTGCCGGCGGCCGCCGCAAACTCGACGAGACTGGGCCGGGCTGATTGAAAGTTAACCGGCTTGGCCATCGCCAAGGACGCCAACAAGATGGCGCCTGTGATGATGAAACACTTCATGGTGTGAGATCGGTGAATTTCTGCAAACAAGACGGGAAAGAAGGGCACGATGATGAGAGATGAGGACAAAGAAAAAGGGGAAACATCAGGCGTCACGTCGTGTTCATTTATAAATCCGCTTACGCTGATACAGTCGAGGAGGCTTCCAACACTCATGGCGCGTCGAGAACGCCTCAACAGATCATGATAGACCCTGATGGCGACGATGAGCAGCCACGGCGCTGGAATCGTCCAACGTTCGATGTAGGCGTCTGCATCAGTAATGGTAACAGACTTTTTCAACAGCCTTCATGAGGCACCCGCACAAATGGATGTGGCTGGGCTAAAGAGGTAGAGAGGTCGTTCAATGGTCGATATGAGTAGCTAGACGTGAAAAACCGGCCCTTCGAGAATAGTTTGATTCTCGCAGTGGCTTGAGACTTCTCATATTAGGCTCTGCACAGCAAACTCAAACTGATCAGCATATTGCTAATATATTGCTCGTAACAACAGCCACAGAGCAACTTTCTAGCTGTGCTCAAAGTTTGCGGCGAAAATACGTATGAACGATCATTACCAAGGTGCACAAGGAGAAACGCCTCAGCATACATAATATGCCACAAATATGTCCCAGGCGCAACTGTCTGTCCTCGGAACGAGAGATGGTTGAACAAAACGAACAACAACCCTCGAACAAGGAAGGTGCAAAAAAGGACATACAACACCGGGCATTCGCCGGTCGTCACCGACCCGACTACTACTCCAGCCCTCATTGGCTTATCTATGGGAGAGCGGACGGGATCCCGAGTTTTCCAATGGGTATGGTCGTATGTGCTTCGAGTTGGGATTGAATCCATATATCAAGGAAGCTCTCTGGTCACTCACCTGGCGTTCATGTGGATGCGGACTGCGTTGAGGATGGATAGTTTCAGAAACCTTATATCCTATCTCGCCTACCAACTACAGACTTTTCCAATACACGGGCAACATTGCTTCAGGAGGGTGGGAGGCAAAGTTTCTGTCAAGGAAAAGAGTTTTGCTAATAGCAAAGTCACTGTTGAGGCGCCATGCATCATCACCTTGACAGTTCTGTGGATATCGAGAGGGGCACTCTGAAAGAGGGTGTTTCATTGACAAGTGGGAGCCGAGGCAGGGTCGCAGAAGAGACTCACGTAATGCTGCGCCGACGAAAGCCAAAGACGAATGACATCTGTTGCCCAAGCATCTAGAGCGAGCTAATACGTCGTGGCGTTCGCCCGAAGGTGAGACCAGTTCGCTCCAAACTGTCCACGGGACCAATTCATGTGGGGTCCACTGCGACAGCTATCGACGAGGGTCCTTTCATAGGTCGAAGAAGTTTTTTGTAGATTTATTGCCTCGATAGCCGCTAGGTTTTTCCTTTGCCATGCCCATATAAATATTGAATCTTTTCCGCCTGAAAGTGTAAAATATGAAAGAAACGCTTTCTCGCTTGTGGAGCTCCTCATCCAATGCTGCTTCTCGCTGGAAAATTCAAAATCTCTGCGCCCGTATAGCTCATTCATCAGTACATGCGTTCCTTTGACCCTTATCCCTCCATAGCCGCCTGGTCGCGGTCGCGATCCCTATGGTGACGGCGGTGGTGATAGTCGTCGTCGTCGTCGTCTCGACGATGTCTGCGGTGGCGTTCACGATCGCGCTCCTCGTCATATCGATCGTCATCCCCGTCATCTCTCCTGTGGTGGCGGTAGTGTCTTCGCCTGTCATCGTCCTCATCTCTGTCGCGTCCCCGGTCATGGTCCCGATCGCGCTCACGGTCTCGCTCGCGATCGTGGTCGCGGTCTTTGCCTGCCTCCTCACGCCTCCTCTCTGTGCTACTGGTTAGATTCAATTATGGAAGAACGACTTGAGTATTTAACATACCTCTTAGGACTTGAGTGGCAGCGGCGTATGCCTGAATTTCCTCCTTGCTGAGGACTCTGAGCACGATGACGAAGTCGTCGCGAACTTCAAACCGTTCCTTTCCGACGGTCAAGGCTTCCGGATTGACAATCTTCCGGCTGATCTTGGTCCAACGGGCGCCCGGAGGGACCTCCTTCAGTTTCTTGTCATCCTTGTGAGGGGCGACACCCTCACGAATCGGGTTGTCTTCCTCGGGGAACTTGCTAGGTGCCTTGAGGATACCCTTGAGTGGCTTCGAGTCCGATTTGTCGCGAGGCGGAGAAACAACACGAACCTGCTTCTCATCTCCGTGAGGCGGTGTAACCTCACGGCCCCGAGACTCATCTCTCGTCGACTCAGTTGACGGCACCGTTACAGGTGATTCCCTCTTGGGCGGTGACTCTTTCCTGGGCGAAGGCGTGCGCTCTTTCGTGTCTCTCAGGGGAAGATCAGCGTAAGTTTGTTGATCCGATCGGTCGTCTCGCGGCAACCGTTCAGACCTCTCTGACCGCTCCGATCTGTCATATCGCTCATCGTATCTCTCAGAGCGCTCTGGACGTTCCGAGCGGTCAGACCTTTCAGCAGCAATGGGAACCTTTTCTCTCTCCCTAGGCTTCTCGTCCCTCATTGCTGCTAGTTGCTCCTTCAACTCCCGGATGTCGTTAGTGTTTGTGGGGTTGAATCCAATGGCCTTTTGAGCAGGCCGCTTCGACTTCTTAAGGTCGTCGTCAGGAGAACCGTCGCGCTGGGAAGACGGAACGCTGTCGCCAGTAAGTCGAGCCTCAGCATCCCGACGGTCCCGGTCCCGATCCCGCTCCCTTTCCCTTTCCCGCTCGCCGCGGTCACGCTCACGAGTATCCGCCTCCGAGTCAGCGGGTGCTCTGCGGGTCTCAACGATCACAGGTGCGCGGTCCCTTGGGTCGCGAGACTCATCTCTGGGCTTGTACCTATCGGCGGTGCGCGTTCCTGACTCGTCTTCATCGTTGCGACGCCGTGACTCTCGGGATTCCTTCTCAGGCTTATCGGATCTCTCGGGCTTCTCATCTTTTTCCTTCACAGCCTGCCCAAGGCCGATTGCTGTAGCAGCCAGTCCGAGACCAGCGCTTACTTTGTCCCGAAACCTGGTTCGCTCGGATTCATCATCGTTGGCGGTGCTGATCCGTCGGCTGTGTCTTTCTCTTTCGGGCTCGAGTCGTGCGGAGTCACGCTTCTTCCTTGATTCATCATCAGAGCCTCTCTTTGTGTCCGGGGGTGATGTCCGATGACCGGTTCTAGACTCCGGGCGGTACCCGGTGCGGGATTCGGGACGGTACCCATTTCGAGACTCGGGACGGACCTCTCTACGTGGGTTCCGTGGGTCATCAAAATCGCCTCCAAGTGGAGCCGAATCCGTGCGAATGCCAAAGCCGCGCGTGGACACGGCATCATCATGGAAGTAGTCGCCACTACCGTAAGTAGCGTCATAAGGGCGATCCTCTCTTGCTTGTCGCTGCACACGGTCATCCTCACGGCTGCGGTAATAATCCTCGTGGTGAATGGAGCGCGGAGCTGTTCCCTCATTGTACACAGACACAGGGCGACGAGATGAAGTGGGACCGGCTACTGTTGCGGCTGCGACGGACGGTGCGGCCACATCCAAAGACGAAGGGATACCGGCGGAACGTCGATCCCTAGGGCTTGGAGGCACCTGCATGTGAACAGGAGCGGCCGGAACAATGGGTGGGATAGAGCCTTGCCCTGAGTCATACACGTTGGTGGTTGATTTATTGATCTTGTCGAGACCCCAAGTCGTCGGCGGAGGGCCGCCGCGACGGCCATTGTCGTTGTACGGACGACTGACAGGATCTGTAGTGGTCACGTTGACACTGGGGCGGTAGTAACCACGGTCAATGCTCTCTCGTCTGCGAGATCTGGAGGGGGGACGAGAGTGGTCCAAGTCGTAGCGAGCAAGGTCGCCAGGGGCGGTGTATTCGTAGCCATCAGTGGCTCCGTAATCAATGGGAGCATTGCCGTGACGAGAGCTGTTCGCATATAGGGTGGACGATCTTGTTGGGCGGTATGCATCAAGCCGACCGTCGACAGTTCGTTCGCGAAGGCGAGTGAACTCTTCGTTATCCATTGTTGCGCTGTAAGAGCCACCGCGATGGTGGCTTCGGGAACGTATAGAAGACGCCGGCTGGGTGTAAAAGGTGCTGTCGCTGGAGCGGTAATCGTCGCGGGTCGGGCTGGAGTGTCTGTTGCTCGAAGAGTGATGCGAAGAAGAGCTTGCCTGCTGAGGTGTTCTTGTCGTAGTAGTGACGATGACAGGACGGGGAGCGCTGGAGTCAAGAGTTGTAGAACGGCCTGCCCGGTTGCGGCTCACATCTCTCAGGCTGGGACCGCGGGCCAGAGGATCCTTGGTGACAGCGTACGTGGTGGTGGTTGTCGGAGTAGTGGTGGAGTGAGAATGGTGATGGCCTCTTGAGGAAGAAGAGGTCGTCGGGGTGTACCTCGTAGAGGTAGGCATGACGTGAATGTCGCCTCCGTACATGGAGCTATAACCGATGCTGGTGGGCATCGACGCTCTCGCCGGATTATAGGTAGGCGATCGTGGGCGAGTGCCGGTGTAGCGCGAAGAAGAGTAGCGGGGATCCATAGCGACGGGTTTGTGAGTTGTCAGCACGCTACGAGTCGTCCTGTGATGTGTTTGTCGTCGCCGTCGCCTTCGCCGTCACCGCCAACTTGGCCGCTGCTCTCGATTTCTGATCACTCTCCAGCGAAAGTGATGTTTTTGGAGGGTTCAGTTGCGTCGAGTCGGCGCCACGAGGGAGGAAGATGAAGAGGGGCAGTCGGGTTGGGTTGGGCGCCGAGTAAGTAAATTGCGATGATGCGGAGCGGACGTAGCGGAAAAGATGCACGACGAACCCACGTGAGGATTCCGCCCTAAAATTTTTATGTCTTTCTCGCTTTGACGTCGAAGTGCTTTGGCGTTTTTGGGTTTTTCACGGCTGTTGCTGATCTGGGTGGGTGTTGTGTTGTCTCACTTTGTTCGCTGGTGTTTTTCGGGCGAACAATGGGATGAAGCCCTATGCTTGTGTCCGTGTTTTTCCCCCTTCCCTGGT